GGAGAGAGCCGCGGCCGCCGCCGCAGCCGCTGTCTAGCGAGAAGGGAGGCACGGGGACGTCATCCTCAGGTTGGAGGTGGCGGCATTTAAGTTTAGACTTCAGTCGGTATCCGCGACTCATGCGGTACAAGTTTCGTGTGATCGTCGCGTGCTCGATCAATCGCCGGAATCGATCGATCAGCCGGCCCCGCGATCGCCAAATACGGAACAGCTGATCGACCGGCGCGTATTGCCGCGACGAGCCAGGGTGTACGATGTTACACGGTGTATATAATCAACTGCGTCGTATAAAATCACAAGTGACGTAAAATGCAAACAGTGGAGTAGTGTTCGGTTGTTCGTTGTGAAACGGAGCTCTTCTTCGCCGCAATCTCGTCCCGCGAGAATCGTCGTTTTCCGAGTATCCGCACAATCTTCAAGGTGCGATTTGAAATATACGTGAGAAAAATTGGACGATATAACAGGACGACCGGCTTTTGCACGGGCGGAATTTCCGTCGAGAGATTTTCGCGTGGGAAAAATGTTATTTCCAAGGTAATCCCCGAGGAATGAAGTGGACGATCCTCGGAATCGCTCGAACGGGCTCGTCACCCCGCGGCGAACGCGTTGCGAAAGATCGAAATTTTTCTAGCGCGCCGACGACTTCGCCGTCGTCGGCCCTCGTCGTATCCTTCGTTCACCGCCGCGATACCACGTTGTTGGATCTCTCTCTTCATCGCACATTTCGCGTTCCCGTGGCCATTTCTCCGCGCGGCCTCCTCGCCTGCCACCTCGTCGGGTTCGTTCGGCGCGGAACGACGACGCTGTCGGTCGTTGCGAGATTTAATCGCTCGGCGATGACGACGACGACGACGACGACGACGCTGTTGCGCTCGCAATATCGATGCTCGCGATATACGGCTGCGAAAAGGCTGATATAGCATGCGGTCGATCGATTTTTCCGGAGTGAAAGGAAGCTAAAGCGGAAGTTTCGGTCGCGTGCGCTCGGATCAGCCGCTTTTCGGGAAGATGGGTGTTCTCCTGGTGTCAGACGGGATTACGTCGCCGGTAATGCAATCGCGCGTGAGTTTGAGCGCGCGCGACGCCGTCGTCGACATCGGCGTCGTCGACGAAACGAACAACAACGTGAGAGGCTTAATGGACGCGAATAGCTTGCCGCCGCCGATGCCGCCGACGCCGACGCGGGTCGTCGATATAATCGACATTGTCAACGGCGGAGAACCGCCGCGACACAACGATTGGATGCCGCCTCCGCCGAAGAAAAAGTGGATACGCCACTACCTGCTCGGTGAGATTTTTGCGTCAAAAGTCGCGCGATTCCAAAATGCCTCGCGAAACCAGCAATTGCAATGCAATAATTTTTCCATTTCCTCGTCGAAAAGCATTTTCAATATGCATGTTTAACCAGTTCTTCCTCAAATTTCGGTTTATTTTTATTTTTGAAATGCCGCGGAAATTTTTGAGGAATTTTTCCTTCAAATTGCACAATAGGCAATCGATCTTTTTTTTTTCCACCGAATTTTTTCAAAGAACTAGCAAGTGCGAGTTCAGCGATATACGAACGTGCGTAGTCAGCAGTGCGATTCTTCCCCTCACTTTAAATAAATACAGCTCAATGATAAGCAAATGACTGAAAATTGGTAACGCAACTAGCTTTTCTGTGAACCACTTAAATTTTCTGCAGTTAACACGCTGTCGGTATATTTATTTTATCATTAGTACACACTCAAAAAAATATTTCGCTGATGTAGTTAGATTTCTAAATATCGCAACAAGAATGTATCGCTATTTTTCGTATCTGTGAAAACATTGTTTGTCACATACAGAATTTATAGCAATAATGTTCTAGCAATAGCTTCTGAAAAATTTAGGTACCATTGCTAAATGTTATTCATTGCATGATCTAACACGTGATTGATCTTATATAGATAGGCGCTTTAGAGAAACTTTCTTTTTCAAGTTCACAAACAATACAGATATATATTCTGTTTCTGTCATCTAAACTTATTAAGTAATTACATATGCAATATCACAACAGTTGCTAATCATTTATCTGTTTTAGTTAATTTTTTACACCTAGAAAATTTTAGCTATTATTGCAAGATCATTTTTTTGAGTGCATGTTCATCGGTCCTTATTTCCTAAACGCTCGTCAGGAATAGCCTAGGAAACAATGTTTTCCAAACAAAAGCGCCTACTCTTTCAAGAGTGAAATATGATCTTACCGTGAAATCAGTGATCTCGCGCTGAAAATTTATTCTGTTAAGTCCCGATCTTGAATCGTTCTGCAAACAAAATTCTGATAAATGATGCCCTCCTAAAAATTTTATCTTTCGACGAGCGACTGATTCCAGTAATGCCTGATCTACAGTGTGCTTCTTGCGTATTGTTTCTCGCTCACTGCCTTTCGTATTTTCGCTCTCTGCGCGTGTCTCGCGTGAAGTCGGGAAACGCCGTGATTTGCAATTTCTCCTCTCTGAATTTCTGAAGAAAAATACGCTTTCGCGTAAAGGCAAAACAGGCGGAAAACAAAAATCGAAAAGCACATTGTAGATTGGGCTTAAGTCCCGCCGCCTAAAAACATTTCTCCCCGCGTTCCGCGCGAAACTTTCTCTCAAAACGTTTTATCACGTATTTTTATTGCTCACTCGGAAGATTTATATATGTAGCGTGAGCAAACTTTAATCGCTCGTCATACGTCGTTTATCACTCCGTTCTCGTTTAGCACTCCCGTTCAACTTTTTTTTAAAGTTGATCGCGACAGCAGTACGTTCGCTTCAATTTCTCGAACGTACTTTACCCACTATGATAAAGGCCGATGAGGCAAATCCCGATAAGGTGCACATACGTTCGACTTGTTTCGATCGTGTGCGCGTGATATTGAACTATGTTATATACAACAGTTATTCATTTACATCGTAAATTCTGCGCCACTGAGAACGTCGAAAAATGTCGCACTTACATTGTTTTTGTATCGTATAAATTTATATCGTCTACTTATTATTAATGCAGTAAATTACTTTTTCGAATGCAAAAGGAAGTTCGAAGTTCCTTGAATACTGTCAAAGAATTCGGTAAATTTGCATAATTAACATGTAAAAGTTACACGATAAATAATGAAGTTCACTAAGTATATAATTAAATTTGTATAATTTTATAAGTTTTATACTCTACTCGCTTATATTTCCGTTATTTATACTCCGTTTATATTCCGTTATTTATGTAATTTACAAATTGTATAAATTTGCTGAATTTTTCTATAGTGCGCAATAAAAAAGATATTCGATTTTATATCTATGGAAAACTATCTCTCGAAAGATGGCAAATTGTAATGAGATGAACGGTCGCTACTTTTTTACAGTAATAATTTATTAAGTCGTTTTTATTTTTTGCATAGGGTACAAAGTATTATCATATCAAAAGTCATTATCGTGTCACCGACACTATGACATTAACGTGCGAAGCAAACAGCGTGTATGCATAATGTTATAAATAAAATATTTGCGCGATCAGCGCAAAATCACGGTGCGCGCGTGAATGGACACATGTCGACGGTAAATTTTGCGCGGAATATTTCGGTAGAAGCTGGCAGTGTGAAACGTTTCTACGGCGAGCGTGGTAATCGCGCTAACAATAAGTGGCGAACTGTGTTTGATTTTACCGAAACGGAGAGATGGAGATGACTTCTCAGGTTTCATCTCGCAGCTAAACGCTCGTGTTAAAAAGTGAAATTTTTGTTTGCGAGAATTATGTGTCGAGTTCTAAAGAGGCGGTCACTTTGTCTTAAATCACGCGTGAACATTCGGAGGAAGCTTTGTAGATTTATCGTGCTGTGTAAATCAGTGCTGTTTAGATAACCATAAGCGATTGTGCGATATTTATCGCTAATTTCTGTCAAATTAATTCGGAGCGGAGATAGCAATCGGAGGAGAAGAGTATGCATTGTTTTTGAAGAAGATGCGGTTCGCCCGAAACACACTTCGTGCATCTGGCTTCTCTCAAGTGGACTTATTTCACGGACGGATTTAACGCTCTTGGAAGTACGCGTTTACGAGTACGCGTTTCCTCGCATAGACGGATTATCGTGCGACGGTTGTCGCCGGTTTCAATATATCAGTCTGAAAATGGCCACGCTTAGATTAACATCTGATTACTACGGTCTTCGCTTGTAGATCCGATTTCATGCCGATCTCATGCGGATAAAGCGGCTGTCACAGTCTTTTGTCGTTGTCTCTTTACATAGACCGCTCGATTCTCGGTTCTTCCGCTATTAATATAGAATTGACTGCGAGATAGTGATTAATTTTGCGACCTTTAATCTTTGGTTTGAAAGCTCTACCTTGTTTTTTCCATTGTTACTCATGCATTAAAAAAAGACCAATGAATTGTGATTTCGGCGAATATCGAGGGCCATGAATTTGAAATATATCCGCGGATACGAGAGATGGAAATCAGACTACTTATAGTTCGTAGAAGGATATTTCCAAGTCAAATAGCGGCTATCAAGTTGAGCGTACGAGAAATGAGATATGCAAAGCGTAGAAAATGTGGAGAATGTAAAAATTATGTTATTTTACACGTCAATACGTAATAAGAATAATTAGTAATTTTTAAAGTAAAATATGTAAATGTTAGTAAAAAAAAAGAAATTTGAAAGGAAAAAATACCAATTATTTAAGCGCGAGACAAATATGCTATAACATTTATTACAAAACTGAATTAACTAAGCTGAGCAATATTTTGTTACATTACAGTAAATATATTCTGTCTTTATGTGCACAATATTAGTAAACAAGATCCTTGATTAAATTTATTGCCAAATGCAAAAAAGCTACTGTTTCTTTTTTATCATTATACGAATATGTTAAATATACATAAGCTATACAGAAAACTTTCGTAAAAACTTGATTAATTCCGAAGGTTAAGGAATACGTTACTTTTTTTGCTCACGATGACGCAAGAGTGATAATAGTTAATATAGGTTATAGCGAAACCTCGACTATTCAAGATAATAAAAGGATGAAGCATGTTAAATAAGCGGATTATTGAGTAATCAATACGTGCAGCCAAAATAGAAAACGTGTAATATATATATATATATATATAAATAGCAAATTAATTCGTATGAATAATTTATTTATCATATAAAAAAATATATTTCCTATGAAATTTAGTATATTAATGTGAGAATTATTTTTAGACGCAGTCGAATGTAATCGTTATATAATCTGCGAGACTAATGTTATAGAGTTGGCTTATTTCTTTTCTTTTCTTTTCTTTTCTTTTCTTTTTTTTTTTTTTTTTTTTATTTTTTTTTTTTTTTTTTTTTTTTTTTTTTTTTTTTTTTTTTTTTTTTTTTTTTTTTTTTTTTTTTACAATCGATCTGTTTGATAATAGATTTGATTTCGAACGGCATTTCGATTAATCGATGGTTTTGATAACGTTTTCTAAATTTGCGGATTATTGAGGCACGCGCTTAGGTAATTGCAGTACGGATTTCTTTTTTATTAAACGCAGGGAGAGAGAAAGAAAGGAAAAGGAGAGTAAAGCGGTTTTCTGAAGGACGTAAAGCGGTCGTTCTCACGAGAAAATCATATGTTACGTGAGCATAAATGAGACGTATGTTCGCGAACGTTGCTCCCGCGAATGGAATTTTTCCCGGCGAAGTAAAAGTCTCGCGCTGATCATCGAAACTTGGACGATCCGTCGTGACTCATCGCGAAAATCACGATTTGACTGCTGACTGCGAACAATTTTCTTATATATTTATCTTATTTCTATGGCGCCCCGAGCGTAAAGCATATCTATCGGGCGATCGGTTTATTCCATTCAATGTACGCGAAATGTGGAATTAGCATCGTTCTCTTATCTTGTACGACATATTTATGTCGGAGTGTAATAAATTTGTACAGTTGTGACCAATTATAATTTTATGTATCTTGCATTAATTACGGCATTTATATGTAAAACTGGTTAAGCGATACAGCTTTAATCATTTCAAAACGGAGAGTCACACATTTAAAAAGTACTCGCGTTTTGCATACTGTTGACGGATTCTCTAGCAAGCACTGTTTAAAATATTTTACACGCATTCTGTTGTCGTCTACGTGTCTATTAATATTAATATAGTACAGAAATGTTCTCATAAGAAATAGTGCTTACGCAATGGGACAAAATTAAAGATAAATTTGTGTTATTTAGATGCAACGAACTGTTATTGCGCGCATCTTCAAAATATCAAGCCTTCAAAATATATGACGGACAATAATAATACTCTTCCAGTGGCTTCGTGTGATTTTGCGCAAATACAATATTATTCCGACATACATTATACATTTCTCACGCCGAATAAACCATCGACATTCGCTAAAAAAAATTCAAGTCGAAACGTTGAACCGATCGGCATATCATTTGAAAGCAAAATCACGCTGTGGTTCCGCTGGCGTGTAGCAAACATGCAAATGTGTCAAGTAGAAAATTTACTACTGCTGCAAACTAAAAATCAAATAATCGATCTCTTGATTGCTAATACAAACTCGCTAATGTATTATGATAACATTTCATATATTTTTATCTGGAAGATTGAAGAAAAATATGCGAAATGTTTTGCAACTTTCTACGTGAAACGAAAAAGAAGATAAAAATTTGGAGATTTATATAAGTTCGAAATCAAAGAATTTTTATGCAATAGTGATTTCTTTCTATGTTATTAATATTTAGATTGTAAATGGATATTTTATAATTTGTGATTCTAATTTTAAGGATACATATTTGATAAATTTCAAGTTGATTTTCTCTTAATTAAAAATATTGAAGTATCAATAGATGCACTAATTGTAAGAGTTTTAAGAGTTATAATTGACAAAGAAGGGAAGAGTTTTTCGCCAATTAATTGCAAGCTTCAAGGACACAAATGGATGATAAAATTTTCAAGTAGACTTTAATTTATTGGAATTAAGCTTGAAGCTTTATTACAAAAATATACAAGATTGCAACAAACATGATCTCCTTCGACACCTTCTGAAAAATCGATAACAAAACGAATTAATCCAAATTAGTCTTATTAATTTATTATTTATAGCATAATAGTGAAATATCAATTCGATAAATTATGCATCACGTGAGACTTTTTCGACTTTGAATCGGTATCTTGCATGGATCCTGCATTCACAGCGCAATCATTCGCGGGTTAATTCCGAAGGACTGAGAGTCCGCGTGTACGCAATGTCGTCGTCATTACTTGATTACTTCTTGTTACTTCTCGCAGAGTACACACACATACGCGCGCGCGCGCGTGTATGAGCGTCGAGAATAGATTTAGGAAGCGGCGAGCTATGCGACGAGTCACTGCCAAGTCGGTTCGTACATGAATGAGTTGGTTGCATGTGCGTACACGTGCTGCGCTAATTTATCGCGCCACGACGATGGCGCAGCTCCGGAGAGAAGGACTTTCTTCATGTCCGGTAGCGAGACGTTGCGGCCACTCGCGAATTTATTATTCTCATTCGTTCCATCGCATTTCGCGCAAATTCATTGAAATATTTGCACGGCGTGAAACGCGGGGTATTCTGAAAACAAGTTTTGCCTTGTCAAATATGTTTGTCCATTCGAGCACTAACAGCACGACTGCTCGGCCGTTGTTATTTCCACTGAAATAACCAAATCGATTATTCTGAAATGCGATATGAGTCCAAACGATGAGATTGCTCACATAGATTTTATGTCATAGAAAAACTACAATATCTGTGAAATATATGATCTGTTATTGATACAACTGATGACAAGGGATTGGATATATATCTAAAAAAAAAAAAATAAATGAAAAATTTGAAATAATTTCTTTGTAATATTTTTGACTTTCGAAAAAATCTAGAGTAAAAATTAGTAATATCTTCTCTCTGTTTTAAGCTTGCATAATTTTTAATGATATTTGTTGCTGAATGATGACAGATGATTTTTAAAATTATTATTTATAATTTTTTTAAGTAGAATGTTGTTTGATTTTTACAATCAATTTTCTTTCAAAATCGGAGCCTCGTACAAAACAATTATATTCTACATTTTCAATTATATATTACTTTCTTTGTGTAAAATCATTATCCTTCCGGTTGTATATATATTATTTTCTATTAAAATAACATCTATATTATCTCATGTTGCGAATTTAACCAGGCAAATTGTTGCTCGAATAATTTCCGATAGAACATTTGTGTGAACAATATATTATTGAGGGAATTGACTCGCTTGAAGCCATCACCACTTCGGAGGGTATCTGCTAATCTTAGGCGAAGACGCAGTCATTCAGGCTTTAGCGTAGAATAGAATGAGAAGCCCCGAGAGCTTTGCTGTCTGCATCGTGGAACGCCAGGAATCGCAGTGTCTTCGTGAATGCGTCTGTATCCAGAATGAAACTCTTGGGATAGTACGAAACTGCGATATGAAGACGCGGCAATAAGATCTTGGCTCCCGTGGCGTCCTGGGAAATTTAGCAAATTAGTAAAACATGTAAAATGTGTGACTTTATCGCCGACTTTTTGCTCGTCGATGTATTTTGTGCGATTGATGTCGAGAGAAAGCCGTAGAGAGAACATAATTATTATAATTTGACGAAAATTCTTTGCGTTATGAATGAAAAGTCTGACTTCTAAACGGTTTTGAACTTGTATTTTCGAAAACGAAGATAGTGTGTTGTAAAATTATTGAAATTCTTTCGAGCATTCTAAATTAAATTACAAAATTTCTTCAATATTTATCCTCTAGAAGTGTTTAAGAGCGACTGGCGAAGCCCGGAGGCGATCTTTTATGTCATAATGTTTGTCGTTCAGAAATGGAGTCAAGTGATTCTATTGATGTTGCAGAGGAGGAGCCGTTGGAAAACAACAGGACGAGTCAGTCGATCGCGTCCCGGGGGAATTCCGTGGTCTCCAGCACGCGAGTCACGCCGTCGTCAACCGGATCGAACTCCGTTCAGTTGACTGCGCTGCATTCCACGTCTCACCATCACCACCCGCATCATCATCATTCTCATCACCATCATTCGCAACAGCAGCAGCAACAGCAGCAGCAACATCAGCAGCAGCATCATCACAGCGATCATCATGGCACACACAATAATTACATGGAGAATCACAATCCGAATCAGTCTCAACAAAATGTGGGGAGTCTTGTTGTCGACGTCGAAACGAGCCACGACAACAAGAAGCATCGAACTGGGTAAGTCGGCTTCGATCTCTCCTCCATTATTTTTCCTGGCTTGTTTTCCTCGCATTCTCTTAATTGTTTTCGCAAGCTTGAGATTAATCTGTGACAGCATTCAGGGTGATTTTGCAATATAATTATTCTATTTTTAGCCTTTTAACAAAATAAATCTCGGTTTTGCGGTATTGCGAAGTAAATTGTGTGAAAACGCTCTATCTGTCTATTTGTTTGTCGCCCTACAGCAGCATGTTAGCTTTCGAATTTATTAAAATACATAATAATGTCTATATGAGACATATACTTATGCGCCGTCACCAACACATTCCACCACGAGTCGATATGTCAGCCTGTTGCTTCGCACGTTCTCGCTTCATCTTCTCTCCTCTCCGCTCCTCTCCGTACGCGAGCGACGCCGTCGCCGCCACTGCAGGCTACTATATCTATTTACGCCGTGCACGTGTCCAGGGTGAATGGCACGTGCACGATGCGTCGCTCAGCGATAACGCGTAGCGGTCACGTTGTTACACGATCGCGTTGCATATACGAGCGATAAGTGTTGTAACTGCAAAACTGTAACTTTTAAATGCTTATCCGTGCATAAATTTACTTCTCGAAAGTAGAATCCGGAATTATATTTAGATTGTATGTGAAATTTTAGCCTTTTGAAACGATACATCTTTTATTCATGCAACTTGGTCGGCTATGAAAATTAAAGACCATGGCGACGTATTCGTATTTCAAAATACAATTACAATAATTTTATTTACTGCCAATTTCAATATCAAGTGCTACATAATTTTGTAGCAAAAATTCAGAAGTTTTGTAAATATTACATTTAATTTTGCTTACACATTACTCTTGAGATTAATTCATACTAAACTAATATTATTAATTTTTTCATATTTTAATTTCTCAAAATGCTAACACAGATATTCGTAGAATTTGACATGAACAACTCTTAGTAAATAATGTCACATATTTTTTAATGTAAATTTAAAGTTGGATTTGTCAAGAATTGAGAGAAAAATGATTCTTTTATTTTCTTGTAATCACACATATACAGTGTGGCAGTAAAGTCTGGAAACACCGGAAATATATACGAAACGGCTAATTTCCGAAAATAACGGTAAAACACGTCAATTTAGATTTTTAGTTTTTTCTACATTCTGGCGATATGCATTTGTTTCTTTGATGCTCAATATTTTCGGTCAAATACTTGAAGAAAGCAGAAAAATTTCAGGGGGGCTACGCCTCCCTAAATTATCTCTGAGTGGGCGGTCGCCCCCTCTGCCCCCCCCCCCCCGGTTCCGCGGCGCCTGTTGTTGAAAATGTTGACTATTTACTTCTTGGCAATACCCTAATCTATCTACAAACTCCTCTTGAACATTTCTCTTGATTAATAAAAGTGGAATTCGGTGTATTTTTTCGGAAAAAAAATTTTTTTAATTTCATCAAAATGGGTGATCGTACTCAGAATAAAAGTCCTTTCAAAAGAAGTGCTACACGACCTACGTTGCGATTTAAAAAAATTGATGATGTCATAACTGTCACTACGTGACAGATGTGAATGTAGAAACAAATGCATATTGCCAGAATGTAGAACACTAAATATCTAAATTGACGTGTTTAGCGTTATTTTCGGAAATTGGCCGTTTCGTATATATTTCGGTGTTTCCAGACTTTACTGCCACACTGTATATATATTTTCTCATCATTCATATCTTTTTACAGACCGTGTGTTCTCCGATCTGGTACGAGAGAAGTACACAATAAGCTAGAGAAGAATCGTAGAGCCCATCTTAAAGAGTGTTTTGAACTCTTGAAAAGACAGCTACCGTCGCAAGACGAGAAGAAATCTTCGAATCTTTCTATTCTTCATGCTGCAAACAAATACATACAGGTATGTATTGTAACGAATTGTACAATGCATGTATATTTATCAACACCAGAATCCACAGTGTTTTTATTCTATTTTTGTAGTTTGCAATGATTCGAATTTTTTTCTTTTTTAATAGCGCATTTTTAATTTTGAAATCTATCCTACAAAAACAAACTATTTCATCGCTCTAAATTTATCTTTGTCTGCGCGCGGCTACTGGAGCGTGAAATAACAGTCAATCGCGTTATCGCTCCGCCAAAGAAATTTCGCGGAGAGAGTTATTTTTTCACGCAAACACGTCCAAATTTTCCGTCTGTCTGATATTCCTGCATTGTGCGTTACGATCGATACACACAAGACTCCTCGCCACTGGCCACTACCGTCATGTGCATATAAAGTACACGCTCGTCGCTTCATTGTAAATTCTTATACTCATTGTCGATTTATAGCTGCGTACGAGCGCAAGTGAAATTCTGCGCGACAACTTGAACGCGGATGTGTATTGCGCCGCGATTAAATTTATATTCGCACGGGATCTTCGTTTCAGCCACGGTCGATGCACCCTTGCTACACGAGTGAAGCTCGCTGTTCGGAGAACAATACCGTGCCATTTCAAAAACGGCAAATTTAAAAAGAAAAAAACACGCAGCTATGATTCACGATTCAAGCGTAAAATTCGAAGTGATAAAAAAAAAAGGATAAGGTCTCTGATTGAAGCCGCACTGTTTACTTATTTAATACCTCTGCGCGGACAATTCTCCGCTTTTGTGTCCTTAATTCGCCTCCTTTTTGATATCTGTGGCTGCGCTTTCGCTTCACACATCTTCAGTCAATTGTTCGCCCTCTTTTCCCGTATATGCTCCGACACGTCCGTGCGTTTTTCTACGAGAGAGAGAGAGAGAGAGAGAAAGAGAGACGTTACCTATATCGACTCCACGTGACTGTGCGCGGCCATCGGTGTCACGCCACATGGCACGTACAGCATATGCTGTTATTCGGACTTTTATCGTCCGACGTCGTTGCTGACGACTATTACGCATGATATGTCGTCTCTCTTGCTCCAGACATGAAAAGTAGCAATGGTGTGAACATAAATGGATATTTAAACACGAGAATTACGAGATGCCTTGTTATTGATAATAGATGCTGAAGTGAAGGGGAGAACGCGCAAAAAATAAAGAGTACGATTTTACGTAATATAAAAGCTGTAAATTTATAATAGAATTTTTTAATATAAACTGTCGTTTTTAATTCTGAAACTCGGAAAACTATAATACTATTTTAAAAAGTAGCGCAGCATATATTGTCTAATGTATTTGAACAGCGGCTATGAAAGTATGCATTAAAACGCATTGTTTTAACATTGAAAACGTTAAACTGGTATTAAGTTTTTTTAAACAGCACAGTAAATGCACTTCTGTTATATAAATGAGACATAGGAAGGCTTGTGTTTGTTCTATAAAATGTCATGTTCTCGAGAAACGTTTTAAAAGTATATATTCTTCTGCATTCCACAGGCATTGAGAAAAAAAGAACGAGAAATGGAGCACGAAATGGAAAGACTTGCAAGAGAGAAAATTGCCTCTCAGCAGAAATTGGTAGCTTTGAAAAAGGAACTGCACGCGACTTACGATCATATTGACATTAACTCTCTTCTGCTGGAACAAAACTCAGGAGCGGACGTGACTATCAAGAACGGTGAGACACTTTCTTCCAATATTGAAAATAAAAAAATTTAGCAAAGCGTAGTCGTTTTTTTTTTTTT